ATCCACATGTCTCATATTATTAACTTCTGCTGCTTGCAGACATTTGAGGCTTTGCTGTAATTTGATTCACTTACACTCGTGCCTGTTAGTGTTGCCATTTAGTGAAGTAGAAATAGAAATGGACAAACAGTAAGTGTGACATACTAGTTAACACTTATTTAGTCTTCAGCAAACTAGCAGCATGAGATTGAGGTGTGATGACCAGGAAACGTTAAAACTTCACTTTGTTCAGCTCCCTGCAGGTTTGACAGCTGGACGTGTCTCAGTGCTCGAGCAGACGTTTCTCTAGTTCTGACCAAAATAAACTGACATTTCATCCAGTTTCTCTTGTAGCTCTGGTATTCTGACACTTCAAGCTGAGATGGTGTACTTTGTAAATATGTTGTGTGCTAATGTGGCTATGCTAGCATTGTTATGATAGGATGCTTTTGATAACATTTATCTCAAAGCATCGCTGTGTCAAAGTCAGAGCGGGTGATAGATACTTTTATTTTGAAAAGCAAGCGTCAGTCACACAGAGACCAGTCACCAAAAATGTGTTTCCACAAACTGGTTGCAATTCTTTGTTTTGTTTGTTTGGTAAAGAAAATAAATTCATAATTAGATTTAATCGTTTTTGGGCTTTTTTGCTGCTGATAAAGTCCAGAGAGATTTTGAATCGGAGAGAAGAAGAAAATTCCAGTAATACCAGAAACTAATCTGACAAAATCAAAACATTTCTTTTCTCTTTAAAAGTGTATTATTGTTTATTTAGATTTTTCCAGCAGTAAGAGTCTATAAACCCTAATAAGCTCACCCCCACCTCCACACAACCTGGTGGGAAGGAGGCGTCGGCCCTGTAAGAGCAGGCTTCAGCCTGCCTGGTGTTGGCAGTGCAGAGGAACAGCAGACTAAGACAGCCATGATGTAATCTGGTCCATAAGTTTTTATAAACAACAGAAAGAAAGAGAGCAGCTGACAACAGAAAGCTCCTGATTCTGCCTGAGTACTCGGTGCTCTCTGATGGACACGCCAGAGACAAACAGGTGTATCTGATCAAGTGGGCGTGAGTGTACGTGCTCACCTGGAACGATGCTGTACAGTTTACTGCAGGTCGAAAAGGGTTTAAAAAACAAACGGTGCAAAGAAGTAGTCGCGTCCACATCATGTGATGTTTTTAGGAGGTAAAAACTTTTACAGCTATTCTTTGTGTCTGTGTGTAAAATCTGGCTTTTTTGAAATCCCATTATGCTCACAGGCAGTGTCGCTGTCTTAATAGAGCGGTCACTTGAATGTATAATGTTTGCAGAAGCACTTTAACTCTTTCAAAGATGACATTTGTCAGCAGCTCTAACAGGCTGAAGGGGGAACAGTGAGATATAATCAGTCCGAGCTTCTCTGGATAAATTGTTTCAGTCTGAATCCTAATGTGGACTTTGAACTTGTCCCGCTGTGCCCAGCAGCTCTGCTTTGCTTCCCCATTTGTTTATTGTTGTTTATTTCTGTGGTGCATTCACATAATCCTTTAATTATCTGCATCCAGCTGTTTACCATCATTTCCAAACATTGTGCCACAGGTTGATTGGACCTGACACGGCACCTGCAGTGTTTTGGGTCGTTGTGTTGAAAAGTTTGAGTCAGGCTGCTCGTGAAGTGAAGAAGTGTCCACCACAGTGTGTTAACATGAGGTCGTAGACCTCTGCAAGGAGTTAGTGAGGAAAACAATGAAAATGTGTCTTTTTTTAAGGTATGTTAAGATTGCACAAACTATACCGAAAACCCATCACTACTGTGTTGAGCTCCTTTCAAAAATATACTAATGTAACCTATTCTGGTCATAGCCATCGTTCTCCATCCATTATCTTAACTATCATGGCTGTCACTGGGAAAGAGGCTGGAGGAAAGGCCGTCTGTTCAATGGTAGGGCTCAGACGGAGGCAGCACATCATGCCACCGTCTAAAGAAACTGCTAACAAACCAAGTAATTAATATCCGTCTGTCTGCAAAGGGTTACAAAGTCATTCCTAAGGCTTTGGGACTCCATCCAACTACGGGGCCGTTATCCACAAATACAGAAAACTTGGAGCTTTCCCAGGAGTGGCTGGACTACCACAATGACTCCCAAGAGCACATATTGGGGTGGCTGTAGCTCAGGTGGTAGAGCAGGTCACCTACTGACCGGAAGGTTGGCGGTTCGATCCCAAATATCCTTGAGCACGTTACTAACCCCATGTTGCTCTCCGATGCGTCCAACGGATGAATGTGTATGAAATAAGCACAGTTAGAAAAAAGTGAAGCTTGAGTGAATGAATTGCTTGTATAAAGCGCTCTGAGTGTAGCTATATAAGAACCAGTCCATTTACCATTTACATGACTCATCCAGGAGCTCACAAAAGAATCCAAAACTAAATCTAAAGGACTGCAAGCCTCGCATATCTCAGTCTCAGACTGGGCAAAAAGAAAGCACCTCGGTGACCTTGAACGTGACAAGAATCTTCTGTGGACTGACGAGACAAATGCTGAATCTGAATAATTAAACCAACACTGACGCTCCAGTGCATTTGGGCGGTGATGCACACAGGTGTGGAGCTGAAGTGAAGTTAACTGAGTTGATGACAACACTGTTACCAAAAGTGCAACACAAAGTTACAGAAGCATCATTATTAAGCTCATTTTAACCACGGTGTGCAGTTGGGTATGAAACTGTTGCAAACACTGACCCTGGTGCGTATTCCTGCCTTTAGACCGATGTGCTGTTGATGCTTCCCTAACAGAGATGTGATGGATCAGGATGTATCAGCGAATGTTGTTGTGTTTTGAACTGGAGAATGCTGAGTGACGTATGCTAAACGCTATAATAAGCTCAGATGCTGTAACCTAACACACTTTCACCAAACAGCTTTCTAAATGCATGTTAGTAAAGAGCAGTGTCTAATCACACAATACTCTAACAGGTTGGTGACGCCAGCTGTTTCATGTCTCTGTTGTTGGTGCCGTGTTCCCTCAGACACCTGGTGTTCTGCATATTTGATCTGCTGCTGGAGTTCCTGGTTCCTGAAATACCCGAAGAAAACTTCCAAAGAAGCCTGCTGCAGATGCTCGGCAAGAACCCAGAGAAGCTGCTGGCATGAGGAGACACATGTAAACCCACCTTCCATCATCCTAGCTCGTCTACAACTCCCAGCAGTGTGACAGCAAGGCTGATATCATGTTCTGCACTGAGAGTGTGAGTGGGTGTGGGGGATTTTGTCACCCCGACTCAGGTCCACTAAGATCTGCGTCTGATTATGTGTTGATGTAGTGACATACGATACGATGTTCTTGAACATGGTGACCTGGACGCACACACTACATTTGAACCAGATGTGATTACATGAGAGCACCTGGTGTGTGTTTGATGTCACGGTGCACTGTTCAGATCTAAACATGTGGTAAAGCCTCCTGCGATATCCACTTCCAGCCTCTTCCTGTCTGCTAAACACCCCAGATTTCATTAAACTCCCTTCAGATGGTCTTCACACCCTGCCCTTAGTCCCCTCCACGGCCTTTTGGTAGAAAAGCTTAAGAAGCAGGATTGCTTCGTCCTTTTCCACTTGAGTCTCACAACGCTCTCCCAGAGTCGCCGTATCAGCTCGTTTCTGACTCATCCTTCAGTATCGCTCCGGATCTGTACACACATGTGATTGTTACGTTACACATCTGGATACAATCTAACCTCTAAGTGAGGTGAAGGGTGGGACAGATGATGTTTTACGTCACAGTCCTTTAACAGTCGATGCCGACATAACAGAAGAGTCGGCACAAAGACGGAAGGATGGAAGGAAGGATGTAGGAAGTGTCCTGGCCTAGATCCATTTTAATGTCTTGCTTCAGTCTTTGCTTAAATTGCAGAGCTTGAATTACTAATTAACCAGTTTTCCTAAAGAGTTGATACAATATTACTCAACTTTTCCTTTGATCTGTGTACGCTGATGACTGATGAGTCACCGCTGCATTGAGGCAACAGTTCTGCGCTCGTTCCCAGCCTGTCAGCATAAAGAGCTGTTTGCTGGGCTCCATCGTACGCTCTGACAGCAGAACGTCAGTAAAAACTGACCACTGTGTATTTAAGCTCATTCATGCTCTGGATAAGGATGTGCCAGCTTGTAGATCCCGTCTTTATGTGTAGGGTGTCCAACGTTGCTACACAGGGTTGAGATCTGTCCAAAGTTTAACCTCGGCGTCTGATGAGCGTCCTCGCTGTGACTCCTTTATGTACTGTCACACTGAGCTATTTCACAAACGTAGCTTTCTTTCTTTGTAACGACCCTCACACACACTGAGTTGACTCTTTTTAGGGATTATCAGCCACAGACTACATGTGGAAGATGGTCTTGATTAAAGTGAACCTTGAAAAAGAAAGCAGCACCTTAAACCTGAGCAGGTGTGCGCTCCTCAGGTTGGCTTTAAAGACGTAAATGGTGTTTTGCTTTGTTCATCCTGATCACCACTTAAAACGTAATAAGTGTGCAGTGTCCCCTGTTTCTGTAGTAAGTTGTGTCTGGTTTCAAAA